CTATGAAATCAGTTCCTTCTTATACTTGGCAGTGTACAAATATTAGAGATGATACAGAAATTTCGATCACACAGGAAGCTACGTATTTTGACATTTCATTTAATCCCAACGGGGCCAAAAAAATGAAATGTCAAAATTTTCATAAGATTAAAAATTCTAAAAGGTTTGGATGCAGAAATGTCTAAACATTTCATTTGTAAATTTGATTGTAACAAAACATTTCCTCTTTAAGTGTCTATTTCAAAAAAAATTCTTATTGAATGAATATTTTTATTTACAATGAGCTTGAGAGAAGTCATTTTATTGTCAATTTAAGTGACATTATCAATTCAAAATGAAAGTTTTCATTTCAATTGGACATTTTGAAACAAAAACTCTCATTTCATTTTGAAATGTCAAATTGAAATGGAATCTTCCCCCCCCAACAAAAATAAATATTTTTATTCAAAATTCAGATTTTCCCACAGAAAATTTCTATCTTGATGTAACAATACTTTCAGATTTTGTTTTCCAAACATAGGGGAAAAAATTGACCAGAACTAACAAACATAGAAGTGGCCATCATTCCTGTTCTAAAAAAATTACAGTCCAACAGAGTGACACTTAGTAGGCAGGACACCCTGCAAAAGCAAGAGGGGACAGTAGTTAAATCATGCTATTTTCTATTCAATGAGCTGGTTGCAAAAGTTGTGAATTTTAATGAGAAAGAGGGCCACGATTTTTTGTTCATGAAAATATTCCCATTTTCAACCAGCTCTATTCATTTTTTGTGAAGAATGTGAAAGGAGAAATTCTCCCTGTGAAACCAGGAGGAAAGGGTGGTATCTTTCTTAGCAGGGACAGGGAGTGCATATCTCTTCCCATCTCAGCCTAGTACTACCAGAGGCCCATGGATCAAGCTTCAATATCTTGCTCTCCACTGACTTTCTTACTGACCTTGGGCATGTCACTGGGACTACATTTTCCCCATCCAATAGGAGTAGGGCACCTAACTTGCCTAAACTCTTTTGAAAATCCCAGCCTGCTAGTTGACTCTTCATTTACCTGAGACGATATTTCTGTAATAACAATTTTGACAAAAGGTGGATACTGAATCCTAACTTTATTCGCTGAGACAAGATCCTCAGCTGACATATATCGGTGTAGCCCTGTTTCTTTCAGTGGAGATATGTTGCTTTCCACCATCTGTGGTGCTGCATCTAAGGGTGAATTTCACTAGGGTGCATAGTGCCAGCACCACTTCCTATTATGTTTAGGATTTAAGTAGAGACTTGATGATACACGGGTCTTTCCAACTCAACGGCGAGGGAAATTTGAGGAATATAAAATCACTTTAGAATATGGACACTATGGGCCAGATTCCCAGTTCATGTAAATCCACATAGCACCATTAAATCAATGGAACTAGGTGGATTTACACCCAGAGTTAGATTCACAAAGGGACATAGCTGTTCTAATTCTGAGCATTCCAGTGGATAACTTTTAGGTTATTTTTTTCCCCAATCACTAGGTTTCCAGAGCCTGAGTTTGGCAGCAAGGCTTCTTACACAGTGAACGGGGAGACATAGGTACCAAGAATGGGATTTAAAAAAAGCCAACATGATAGATGGTTCCTTAGCCAATGGGAAAGGCCAAGCAGAGGGTTGTGTTCTAAATCCCGCAGCTGTCACAGGAGTTCAGTCCCTATCTCCTCTGGGGGAAGGCACCTCCTTTGCCTTGGGATTATCAGCTGTGAATCCTCTAACATCACCTAAATTGGCATTAGCTTATAGAATGGAGAACAGAGATTCCAAGGCAAGAACCACACTGAACTCTGGGACCAGAAAAGCAGGGAAGTATTGCATCCTGGGGGATCTCTGATCCAGATGTTAATGAACCTATGCCTGCACACACACAGCTCAGCAGTTACCAGACCAATTATAGTAATGAATCCTTGATTGGTATCCAAAATACTGAAGCTGTCTAATTGCATTGTGAGCTCCCTGGAAGGAACACCACCCATAGCCAAGAGTGATCAGCTCCTATTGTCTAGCCTAAAGAAAGCCCTTCAGTCATCAGTTTACCCATAAACAAATCAATAACAAGTGTTCTCCCTTGAACCATTGTTGTTTCCCTACAAACAAACAAACAAACAAAAAACCTACCCAAGCTCAAGTAAGTGTTCTGATGAATGGATCCAAACTCTGCATCAGTTCCACTAAGACTTCATCTTCTCCTGACTGATCGTGCTGGGGACTCTCCCTGTCTCCAGGACTCATGACGCTGAGCTACCACCATCACCTGGGAACCCCTACCAGTTCAAGCTTCATGGAGTGCTGAGATCCCTCCCTCCCTCTCTCTCTGCTTTCTTTTCTACCTCAGGTATAACTTTTTAACCCTGACTTGTTTGATCAGGAATAGTTTTCTATATATGACTTTTGTAATCTTTTATAATGTAACAATTATGTTTGTTTAGGCTCTCCTTGTGTGATTATCACTATTATTCAATAAATAACTTTTATGGTTAAGCTGGTTGCTTCCCTCACTATCTCTCTGAACTTTACTCTTCTGTGTTTCTGGCTTCCCATTTACTCTGCAGCAATGCTTCTCTTACCTAAGCTAAAGATCCCTGTAGCGGCCAAAAATCCTGTGGGGTTTGCTCATCAAGAGGTTTACTACCAGAACAATTGTAACGTGGAAGTGGGGATAGGGACATGCTGAACCTGTGACAGATGAGAGTGGCAGCTTGGAAGTGCTGCTCTACGCAGGCTACTGAGTCCAGGGGCATATAAGGGTGGCAGTTTGGTAGTGCTGATTGATCTGGTCCACTCAGACTCGCTCTGTTAATGTGTGTGTGTGCGTGCAAGCATGTGCTCAGCTGTTTCTGGGGATGGAGGAACCCAGCCCTGGGGAACCCAGGTCCTGCAGGATAGCTCCATTGGGCGGGGACTTGCAAAAGGGAGAAGTAGGGCTCGATATGAAGACACAAGTGACACAAGCAGTACATTGATAGAATTACAGAAACAGCCCTCCTGCCTCCCCCACAGAAAAGTAACCCTAATAAATGAGCATACCCCCAAATAACGGGCAAATCTGGTAACAGGTGGCAAGAAACCATGGTGAGAGAGGGGAGAGAATAAGAAGATGTTAGGTGGAAGAAACCCCTCAACTTTTATCCTAGCAGTTAGGGATGCAGTAGACCCTTTTCAAGTGCCTGATAATGAGAGATTTTAACAAGGGATCTGCTTCCTCCCATGTGGGTGCCCTAACCACTGCGATATGGGATTCCTGATATGTGTCTCAATCTCTCCTAACAGAGACTTAATTCCTTTGTGCATCTTGGCCTAGCTGGGGATCACACTCATTATTAGTTATTATTAGTGGAGACAGAGACATTAATAGTGATGAATCCTATAAGATACTACAGATATTAAATAGGGTTTTCAACAAAATACTCTAGAAGAACTACAGACTGCAATAGACAAAGATGTTCTTTTCATAGAACTGGCCAGATCCTCAAGTGGTATGAATTAGCCATAGCTCCATTGCAGTCAGCGGGTCAGATTGAAAGAAATATTGGCCTAGAGAGAGAGAGAGAGAGCGTGCGCATGAATGGCTCTAGATCCTGGTGCTTCTAGCACTCACCCAAGATGGAGACCCAGGTGTGACGGGTTGGATCACAGAAACTCCCTTGGGGCTGTCAATTGATGTGCCAAGACTACTTATGCCTCTGCTCTTCTGCCCTGGGAGCTTGGGACTTCAGTTCCCTGCCTGGTTTGAGCCAGACCCGCTAGCCTGCTGCAAACCCAGAACCAGGTCTGAGCCACGTCCCCCAACAGCTGCAGGCTTGAACTGAAAGCAGCTTAAGAAGTGGTTCTGTCTTCAACACTCAGATGCCCAACTTCCAATGGGGTCCAAACCCCAAATAAATCCGTTTTACACAAAACATAAACATAAAGCTTTATACAGGGTAAATTCATAAATTGTTCACCCTCTGTAACACTGATAGAGAGATATGCACAGCTGTTTCCCCCGGTATTAATACCTACTCTGGGTTAATAAGTAAAAAGTGATTTTATTAAATACATAAAGTAGGATTTAAGAGGTTCCAAGTAAAATAAAATAAAAACCTGCAAGTCTATGCCTAATACAGTAAGAAAACTGAATACAGATAATACCTCACCCTCAGAGGAGTTCCAGTAAGCTTCCTTTTACAGACTAGTCTCCTTCTAGTCTGGGTCCAGCAATCACTCACGCCCTTGTAGTTACTGTCCTTTGTTACAGTTTCTTTCAGGTATCCTTGGGGGTGGAGAGGCTCTCTCTTGAGCCAGCTGAAGACAAAATGAAGGGTCTCCCAGGGGTTTAAATAGACTCTCTCTTGTGGGTGGATACCCCTCCCTCCCCCTGTGTAGAATTCAAGCTACAAGATGGAGTTTTGGAGTCACATGGGCAAGTCACATATCCATGAATGACTCAGAACTTACAGGTAGCAGCCATTGTTCACATGCGACCTTGAACGTCCTCATGTAGATTTATGTGGATTGGAGTCTTCCAAGATCCATTTTCCGTTAAGTGCTTCTTGATTGGGCACATAACTTGCAAGTTCCTTTCTAAAGAAGCTGAACAAATGCCTTACTAAGGCTATTTAAAAACCAAACAACTATACAGCCAATATTCATAACTTCAAAAACAACAATAACACATGAATACAAATAGGATGAATATATTCAGTAGATCATAACCTTCACATAGATATGTTACATGGCATATGTAGCATAAAACATATTCCAGTCATGTCATATACATTCATAAGCATATTTACGTAAAGTCTTATGGGCTGCAACATCACACCTGGATCCCGGACCCTTTGCTCCAGTGTCTCTTCTACCCAATGGGGATGTGGCCTGCTGAGTTCAATGGAGACACACTGATTTAGACCAGCTGAGGCTTTGGCCCAAAATGTCAGATACCTGAGCTGAGAATCTCCCAAACACAAGTTACCCACAGTTCTATGCTCTTTTTTAAAAAAATAAAATAACATTGACACTACTTGAGAAATTTGCTTTTCCCAACATTTTCCCTACAGCTGTTTTCACCTCCTTGTTTTTCAGGCTGTAGATGATGGGGTTTAACATGGGGGTCAAGACACTGTACTGAATGGAAAACATTTCATCCAACACTTCAGAAGACACTGAGCTGGGTTTTGTGTACTGGAAAAAAGCTGTCAAGTACAACAAACCAACCACAATAAGGTGGGAGCTGCAGGTGGAGAAGGCTTTACGCCTGCCCTCCGCTGACCGTATCCTCAGGATGGTGGAGATGATGTGAATGTAGGAGACCAGAGTGAAGAGAAAGGAGCTTGATCCAAATATCGCAATAGAAGTAAGAAGCACCACTTGATTGGTGAAGGTGTCAGTGCAGGATCGTTGTAATAGAGGAGGGAGCTCACAGCTGAAATGGCTGATTTGATTGGGCCCACAGAAATGCAACTTGGAGGTAAAAATAGTGTTAAGCAGGGCATGGAAGAAGCCTATTGTCCATGCCCCACTCACCAGCTGAACACAGATCCCTTTGCTCATTATCTCCATGTAACGCAATGGGTCACAGATGGCAGTGTAGCGGTCATAAGCCATTGCTGAGAGAATAAAAATTTCAGTAGCAGCCAGCAGGAAAATGAAGAACACCTGTGCAATGCAGTTATTGACAGAAATGCTTTTGTGCTCTGCTAGGAAATGCACCAACATATTAGGGACAATGGCTGAGGAATAGCAGATATCAACAAAGGATAAATGAGACAGGAAGAAATACATTGGCATGTGAAGGTGAGGATCAGTCCTTATCACCACCATGATCACCATGTTTGCCAAAAGTGTGATTAGGTAGACAACTAAAAACACCAGGAAGAGGAAAATCTGCATCTGTGGGTCATTGGAAAGTCCCAGGATAATAAATTCAGTCACTTCGGTTTGATTTTCCATTGATACTTACTCAGGAAAACTGACCTGTCAGACTGGAAAAAATAAAATTAACACACAAGTACATTGAAATGGCCTGTGGATCTCATCTGATCAGTAGGATGAATGTAAAGAGAGGCCTACTACATCCTATAAAATGTGTGTTTAAAATAGACAAAAATGGGCTAGATGCAGAAAAGGACTTTGGCACCAAACTACTCTTTTAGTTCCCTAAATCCCAGGATCAGGCCCCAGTGGAACTCACAGAAACACCGCTCAGCTGTGATATTGGGACAGTTGGACATAGGGCTCCCTCATTCTCTACTGTTGAAGCTGTTCCACTGTGGTTAAATAATAAAAAAGCTTCGGAGTAGAAGGACTGAATCCTTGGCCTCCTGCATCTGGAGGTGAGTGCCCTAACCACCAGGATATAGAGTCACCCTTGCTGTCTCTCTCTTTCCTAATATCTCTTTCATCTGTCCCATTAACTTCAATAGAGCTATGGCTGATTTACAGCAGCTGGAGATTTGGCCCATTGATGCTTATGGAGCTATGGCTGAGGCACACCAGCATGGGATCTGGCCAGTTCTATAAATACTCTAAAAAAACTACAGAATGTAATATCTGTAGAATCTTATTGGGCTGACCCCTATTAAAATATCTAGAATTCTAGAAGAGAAAGAAACTGCCGAGGCCTAGAAATTTTGGGTTTTCACCCAACAGGGTATAGTCTGTCAACAAAAACCAGTATGGAGAATATGGCATTCATAATAATTATCAATTACCACTAACGTGGGCCTCAGAAGACCGTATCTGGATGACAGCCTCCTCCCAAGGAGAGTATTTTGTGTGGAGGTGGACAACCTCATGTATCATGCAACTCTCCAAACAGCCAGAGATCATTTGTGACAACAGAGTGAAAAGGAGTCATCTTATAAACCAAGAAGTGATCCGAGGTTGTCTTTTGGCAAAACCAGAAGAGAGAGCCTGGAGCAAAGAAAATGCTCCAACACTGGAAGGACAGAAACGACAGCACCGAGAAAGAAATGACTGAGCATAAACTCACTGCACAACTGAGAGCTTTATTCCAAAGAGGAGAATTTACACAAATGAAGATTGAAAGCCTGAAAAGGAGATTAGTCATGTAGAACTATGTACAAACATTTTGGTGGGAGCAGTGACATAAGATAAACAGAAGCCAGAAATGGAAGAAAATTGGAGGACAAATATGAGTGAAAGAGCACCTGAAGAAAGTAAAGAAAATGTGAAGGATTTGTTGATCGAGATCATGCAGCATTTAAGAGCCATTGAGCACCAGCCCTACCAACTGAAATTTGTAGACAATCACGCACAGATGATATAATGCAAGCACTTATGAAGTGCTCAAGGAAACTGGAGAAAAAACCTACAAGGATTAGCCAGTACAATTATATAATTTATGCTCCAGTAACAGTAGCAGCTCATTGGTTTAACATCAAGCCATCTGAACATATGAACCTTTGGAAAACTTCCTATCTTCAAGAATGTCCATGGCAATGAAGGTTAAAACAGAAAAGTACGCTTTTTCATTGAGATACCAGCCTACTGGATGTATATCAGAAAAATAATTTGAAGAGAAAAAAGCAGCAAACAGCCTTGGAGATGAAATATCAGCTGAATGAAAGGATGTGAGAGTTATGAAGGAACAATGTAAAGAGAAACTGATCGCTTGATGTCATGGACTTGAAAGATTTCAGCACAAAGTTATTAGTATTGAGAGAACAGTCACTTCACCAGAGACCCTAGGAGAGTCTTTCATCTGATTGATGAAAAAAAAAAACCCCAGAACAGGCAAAAATAGAGAGCTAATAAATGTCGTTGAAGAGTTTCACTGCTTCTGGAAGAAAATCTGGTCTGAGACTGTACAACATAAGCAGAGAGCGAACCAGATTAGAAATGAAAGAAAAAGTTTACAAAACACAGCACAGAGGAATACACAGAAAGACCAAAGAAAGAAATGAGGTACTGAGATAAATGAAAAATTGGAAATCACCCAGACCAGATGGGATGCCTGAATTCTCGCTGAAATGCCTTACAACACTCCATGATTGTTTATTTGAACAACTTAATCAATGTTTGAAGGATGGATTTCCAAGATGAATGGTGACAGGGACAATGAAAGAAAGAAAGAAAGAAGTAGTGATCCTATGAATTATAGACTGACCACATGTTTACCAACTATAAGGAAACTTCTAACAATAATTCTGGGAAAGACGATCTGGCAAAAAAGCAGTACAGTAGACATGAAAGGAACAAAAGGCCAACTTTGGCTAAACAGGAGGGTCACAGAAGATTGAAAACAAAAAAAGTATACCCACACAATGGCTAACTTTTTTTCTACAAGAGACCATCCAACAGTGTCTCACAATCGAGGATCACTGAGACACTGAAAATGTCCAAGGTTCATACACAGATCATTTCCTTTCTGCAGCAATCTATGTTTAACTGGAACACTCGACTCTCCCAGGAAGGGACTCATTGATGAGGTTCAATGAGAGAAATCTCATTGAAGAGAAATCTTTCAAGGGGATTCCTTAGCACCAGTGCTGTGTGTGGAAACCATGGTGCCACTGACATGGATGCTTGTTGAGATAACCACAATTTACCATATCATCAAAGACCAACAACCAGTTAACAATTTGTTAGACATTAGCAATCTGAAACTACATGAACAGTCACAAAAAGGAGCTACAGAGATTGATGATGTGTGGAAAAGTTTGGTGAAGATATAAAGCTACACGTTGGCTTGGCTAACTGTGTGTCAGCATCTGTAAAAATGGCCAGACTGGTACAATCTGATGACATACAAGTTAATGATGGAACTATCCATGATATCTCAGCATGACCCCTACAAATATCATGGAATCAGGGAACTGTCAGAACTACAAAATAAGAAATTGAAAGAAAAAGTGAGGAAAGAATATTACAGATGTACAAGAACTACTCTCTGGAAAAAACTGAAGTCTAAGAATGTGATCTGAGCCATTAATATGTGGGGGGATGCCAGTAGTACAGAATATTGCTGGAGTGATCAAGTGTAATTGAGAGGAGAAGAAAAATAATGGACATCCAAAGAAGACAGCTACCGGTGACGCATAGAGTATTAGATAGCAATCAAGTCATGGACAGGATGTACATCCCATGATGTGATAAAGGAGAACTTCTGCTATCTGTGGAGGAAGCAATTGATAATGAAGACTATAATATCAAAATATATGAGGAGTTAACCAGAATAAGATCATCCGGTCACGATAACAAGCAATGACTGAGCTGCATCCAAGCCCAAGAAAGCATGAAAGAAAGGAGAAAGCAAACTGCCAAAAAAGATTTGAAAGGTTTACACAGAGATCAATGCACGGACAGTGATGGAGAGAGATCAAACCTATTGGTGATAGAAGATGGACAAACTCATGACTTCTAGAAGGATCCCTGAAAAAAAGAGGCAGAGCTTCATAATGAACGGATAGGAAAAATCCTTACGGGGTTTAATTATGTAAGAAGTAAAATTCACCAACAACTGCTCCCTAAGCCGCAGAATGTGTTCTAAAAAGGAAGAGATGGTGGCGCATGTGTTGAGCAACTACTAGAGTCTATCTGGGAGAAAATATATGAACAGACACTCTGAATTTGCCAAGTGTCTGCACTAGATCCTCTGTACAAATACGTACTTGCCACAAACTGTGCTATTACAAACACCAAGCTCTAGAGAATGAAGATGGTAAGATTTTTGGGATCTGGCAATTATCACAGACCGATTAGTGCAGTCAGACAGGCCAGACATATTTGTAGAAAAAGACAGCAAACAAGCCCATGTTAATTGATGTTGTGCCAGCAGACAATCAAAAAAACAAGGAGAGAGGATGGTGAAGTATGAAGAATGCTGCCTGGAAGCTGAGCAATTATAGAAAACTAGAACAAACACAATCCTAGCAGTTATTGGAGCTAGGGGTAAAACATGACAGGACAGCAAGACATCGTGGTCAGTGACTTCCAGCAGACACCGCTCTTCGGCACTGTGAGAATGTGAAGGAAAGACCAAGGAGAATGAATGAATTTGACCACCTGAAATACAGGAATTCTGTCAAGGGTTTAACAAGACTCCTGACAACCCAAACCTACACAATCCAGTCAGTATTTATAGGTGACACATGGGGATACATTTTAGACAGCAGCTTCCTCTTTTTGACTCT